CGTTCTGTGCAGGTTGCCTAGAGATTTGTGAGTATGCGGTGGCTCCGAGTATGGGCTTAGATACAATGCGCTGAAGAGTGTGTGCATGGTATTTAAAACGTATACCATAGTGCCTTCCATTGCTCTAGGCGGTATTCCTCTAAAGCACACAAAACAATTTAAGTATCTGGGTCACCGAGGACCTATGTGATAATGCCGATGTGGAAAGAGAGCTCAGGGCGCTGGCTGTCTGTTGCAATATGTTGGCTCGCAGGTTTGCACGATATACCGATGAAGTAAAGGTAACGCTTTTTAAAGCATATTGCCGGTCTTTTTGCAGCCTGTGGTTCAGTTACACGCGGCGGACATACGAAGCACTACGCATCCAGTACAACAATGCGTTCAGGATGCTGTTCCGACTTCCAACTTTCTGTAGCGCGTCAACAATGTTTGCTGAGAAACATGTAGACCTTTCTACGCTATCGTGCAAAAGCGTAGTGCATAGTCGCATGCGCCTCAGTACGAACGGCATCCTGAGCATATTGGTGGAAAGATGGGAGTCCCTAATGCTGAGGCGGTGAATGCGCTTGCAGTGCACACTTCTACCAATGCGTGGCCAATTGTCATGACATTGGCTGGGTACGTTATGCTCTTATGTTAATACCTATATATAATTTTGTTTTATTATTATTATTATTTTAAACCTAACACTAGCTTAAGTATTTTCCCTTACTAACAAGTATTATGGATGAATGTGTGTGAAATAAATGGATTATTATTATTATGTTCCGACTGCCAACGAGAACTGGAACGTGGAATGATCAAAATATCTAGGTATCCTATTTGTTCCTCTAGTTCTACAAGTAACTTTACGGATATCAAGGTTTTCGTCTATTTATTTCATTCAATTTAAAACTAGTTCACAGAGTCAGCAGCACAAGGTTACTTGGAGCACAAAACGATTCTCCAGTGGGGCATTCTGTGATTCTAACAGCAAAGATACTATAGCTTAGTTAGGTGTCGTATATTTTAGTCTTTTGTTCTAAAATATGTAGTTTTATATAGGAAATGAAACTATTTTTCCGGATTTAAATCGTGTATATTTGTTTTTTCAAACAAACTGACGTTTCGTCGTCAGTCAACCGTGACCATGGGACCTGTAAAGGGCCCGAAACGTCGGTTTGTTTGAAAAAACAAATATACGCGATTTAATTCCGGAAAAATAGTTTCATTTCCTATGTGTAACAATCGCGAAAACTGTAATATGTAGTTTTATTTATTTTTACTTCTTATTTTACAATAAAAATAATTCTTAATCTAAATATGGCGGCACAACAAAAACCTGATTAAGGTTATTCGTGCAACGCAAATCACATCTGTTTTATTTACGCTATCTTCTGTTACAGCAAATAGAGTTTGGAATTTGCAACGCTGTTTCATATTTCTTTTGCTCTATCATCGTTCTTTGTTCAGGAAATAAGTCTAGGTGACAGTGCAAAATAAGGCAACAGCCTTAGCCTTATCAATATATGCTGTGCGACATAGTACTGGATTCGATACTAACGATTCTCTTTGACATTCTGAAGGGTTTTTTTTACAAACAAGATTATCATCGGATCATATTCATTAATATTTTGTTTATGATATTAGGTGACGGAACAAACAAGTCTGGTGGTAAGTGACACGCCTGTCCACA